GACAGTTTTGTCATAATTTGAATTTCTTCTTGAATAATACTTGATTCAATTTCACCAAAATATTTATCAAGCTCTAAAAACATTATTGATACAAAATTGAATTTGCTTACCACATAATTATTAATTTCAAAATATAATCATATTATCATAGAAACATTGTATATTTATATAAATACACCTTGAATAGAAAAATATTCTATGATGTRATCAAGATATATGGTATATAATCATTTTCTACAAACGTAACTATGGGAGGAACCAGGAACCAATTATCTACCAGGATCCCCTGTAAACACATGCTTCCCATAAATTATTTATTTTAATCTAATAAAAATACTGATAAAAATTTAGTTTAAAAAATGTGTTTGCGCTCTATGCTATCTATTCACGGAAACGGAGAACAGCTTTATAAATAACATTATACATATTATTTTTGAGTACAGAACTCGAAACAAAAGAATTTACACATCTCTGCTTTCTATAAATCAAAACCAATTTTGAATAATATTTTCTGATTAATGACTTGCTTTTTGTTTTTAGAGTMATTTTTTAAATATTATTGTATCAACTTGTATTTTAAAACCAAAATTGACTGAATAAGATTTATTTCTGAATAAAAAAAGAAAAATGTTTTGTTCTTAACACAGAATCATTGACATTTTTTAAAATTATAACAAACTATGCAATTACATAATTCAAAAACTTGGTATCATGGAGCAGAGAACAAAAAATTACGTAGGTACTATTAAAAAAACAAAGTTAAAATTAAGTTCATCAAAATGTTTTTTATAAATATTAGATTCTGAGCGGAGCAATGTATTAATTTTAATGATGTGTGTTTTTATATTTATTTTTTTTTGTGTGTATCTGTATACGCAATAAGTTTCGAAATAATGCTTCCCAGTAGTTTTCAAAAGTRTCAGGGGGGAAAAAAAATTAAGAAAAAATGGGAATTTTTACGCTAATCAATTTTTGAGAAAATCGATTTTATATATTGGCGGAACTCAACACTGTATAAACACATGAAATTTTCACTAAATGTTTATATTAAAATTTTCTATAATTAATAAATTGATTTTTTAAAGTTATTTATAGACATTTGAAATTTCAAGCTTATTATTTTTTTTATAAATGACAGTAAAATTTTATTTGTCGAGTAAAAAAGCTTCAAAATGTAATATAAGGCTCCATGTATGTTTTCACAATGGTACCTAGTTACAAAATAACCAAAATCTTTATTGTTCACTTAAATATCTAATGTCGGCCAAATCTATAAAAATAAATTACTTATATAATTTTAGACTTTTTGGTTACAATTTGATATTAATTTATCTTAAAGACTGTGTTGATCGACTATTCAACTATGAAAAAATCACAATTTAACTAAAACATTTTCGAGTAACTAAAAAAAATATTTATTGGAGTAGGGATGTGTTTAAAATCAAAATTATGCCCTATTTTAAAACTACAAAATATTAAAATTATTAATTATTAAAATTCCATATTTATGTATATATAGTATATAATATGCAATATAAAAACTATTAAGCCAAACTAAACATGTCATGTAGTGTACTAACCATAACACCTTGATGTTTTGTAATATACATTATCTGTCAGATGAAACTAAAATCAATATAAAAATATTCGATATTTTAAACAATTCCCAGAAGTATTAAATTTTATATTAAATAAATAATATATACATATACTACCTTAAATTCCAAATTTTGAATTTTAAAATCATTTTCAGTCATCACATTAAAAGGTTTCCAAAATGGAAGACATAATAAAAAACCAATTTCTGGCATTTTACGTATTGAACACTCATTAATGTATGAAGGTAATTCTTGTAGTTCTTTTAATGTTATTTCATCTAATAGTTCAGATATGTTTTCAATTTTAGATTTTTCTATAAAATAATTAGTATCTACAGTTAATACCAATCAGTCCAACCATGCACTAGGTATCTAAATTCTACAGGTTGATAATAAACAATATTTCTGTACTTTCATCAAGTTCTGGTATGAATCCGGGTTTCACTACAAATCTATCTTGTATAGTAGATTTTTCAAAATCAATTATACAGGACATAGAATTAACCATAGTATATAGACTATCTTTTAATGTTTCTTTTATCTATAATAATATTATAATCTGCTATAATTTTAACCATGAAATAGCTCATTTCAATAAGAGTACAGTGTACAATATTTAAGCGATCAAATACCCAATTTATAATTGGTTTTGTAAAAACATACCTTTGCAAAAAACGTAATTTGTTCAGAATATCTTTCACAAATTTCTCCAATTGTTACAGTATTTAAAACTGTCTGAAATTAAATCAAATAAATGTGATTGGTAAAAATTTATATTCATTTTGTTATTACATAAGATTTAGTTAAAATATTAATAGTATACATATTTACTTGAAATAATAATTTCCATTGGTACATTGAAGCATTACCACCATTAATTTTTACTACAGTAGACTAAAATATTATATTAAAAACATAAAATGTTATTTTACTTATGTTATTATAACTAATCTTAATTTAAAAATAATACTTGTATTTAATATACATAGTATTTACTATAAATTATAATATACAACAGATTAAACTTTTCCTATATAAATTGTGTATCATATAATTACCTACACTACATTTTATGGCCTATACAGTTATAATATCCAAGCAATAAATTAAAAATATTAAAGAAATTAAGTACTTACTAACACACAACGACAATGTTTGATACAATTAATTAATGAAAGTATTACACTTTCATTACAAGGTTTAATGCAAAATTCTATAATTTCATGTCTGTATCTTATAACATCAATGTTTTTGGTAGGTTGGGCTAAAATATTCTTTAAAAACTTTGAACCTAGAACTGAGTGACACCGGTTCAATAAACTAAAAATGCTTGGGCCTTCTTTAGTTGAATTTTTGGTCCATTTATATGCAGATGGGTGTTCATGTACAGAAAATATTTGCAATGACTCATATGTACTAATACCAAGCCAAACTAGGTTATCCATGTTAAGAATTCTTAATGACATTATTGTAWAGTTGGTTGGTAAACTTAATTTTATCAATGGAGTATCCATGAAATGTAATAATGCACCTAATGCACATACAGCCAACTCTTGAGTAAAATCTATTAAACTGCGTAAATACATTCTGCGAGACTTTTCATTTTTTGGAGCATGTGCCAATGACATGGATAAAATTAATTGTTCGCATGTTTTAAAATCTAAAAATAATAGTATACTATATTCAATATAATTAWATTTATATTTATACAGCAATAAAAAGGTACCTTTAATAGACAGACATTACCTTTGTAAATAGATAATAGTATATGTAGTAGTTTTATTTGTATTATTAATTATAGTATTTATCTAATTTGTGGAAAAAAATATATTATTTATGTATAAAAAAAAATTAAAACTATTACAAAGATTAATAGTTGAATAAGTTGATTTTATTAAACTTTGGCTGGGTAGCTAAATGGTTTTTATAAAAATATGCATTGGAATTCTGTTTTACAATCAAGATTTTGAATTAACGGATATTGTAAATTTATACAATTTTCATTTAATTTAAATTTTAGATTTAAAAAATTCTGATACAATAACCTACATTTACTTAAGCTTATGTTAGTTTATAGATGACTATACGATATAGTACACATAATCATTCTTTAATTATAATTTAGTTAATGTTATACATTAAAATAAAATATTTTACGTTGTATTTTACAAAAATAATAAAAATATGGATACTTACTGAAACATTGTTTGGGTAATATATGCACTTTATCATCTGATTTATAATCATCAGTATTAGTTGGACTAGAATACATATTTATTTTGCCGTTATGAGCTAATTGCTTAATAATTTTTAAAAAATGTCCATCTTGTAAACTACATACTACAATATTTCTATAGCACAAATATTATAATTTTAATTGTCTAGTTAAGCAATTTTGTTAAATATATTAATATATTAGGTTAATWAATTAATAAATAAATTCAACTTACGCAGGTCTAACTTGCATAAATAAAGCATTCAACATTTTAAAGTCTAAATTACTTTCTATGACATCGTGTAAAATTTGTATCTATATAAACAATTTTCAAAAATATAATGTTATATATAAACAAGTAACCTATTATAAAAATTAAGTATAGATATGGATAAAAAATATATTATATTAAAGATTTTTCATTACTTCAGATATTTGGCTATTATACGATGCAGCTCCCAACATGCCATTTTTCCAATAGATCGAGAGAAATACATCCTAATATTCAAAAATTTAAATATAAATATAAATTAAGTTTGTTAACTCTTTTAAATATCTATAATATCAACTTTTAATATTACTGTATCATCAGCGTTTAATGCAATATCATAATCAGATTTATTGATGTCATTTGCGTCATTATAGTTAGAATAATCAACTGATGAAAAATCAATATAACTTGAACAGGTTGCACTTCTACTTAGATCCCTAAAAATATKAAATAGCTAGTGAACATTATTTTATAAAATGGAAGATGTACCAAATAGCTGGAGTTAAATGACCAAACCACTGAAGCAGGTACTTTTTGCGCTTGAAAAC